GCCTACTATTTATCACGAGAAAGACAAGTAGGAATCATCAATAAGTTTGTGCATAATATTTTATTTGCACATTTATTGAATGCAAATGTTTCTGATTCACGTATGCAAATTCATCTTCAGATAGTGTCTTTATAGCAATGTGCGTGCAGTAGATCGCTCAGATTACATTGGGAAAACAGGCGACTGCTGCAAATTGTGCTTTAATGTTTAGCTGGTCAACTGTATGGTATGGAAATCTTATATACCTGCTAGATGAACCCGTCTCATACAGCTGCCATTGCAAGGCTCAGACACTTTGTAGAGAGGAATTTAACACAACTGCCTCTAGGAGTCGCCAATAGAAATAAAACAGACACGCACAAAAAATGTGCGTACGCCAGCCAGAAAGCTGCCGTGAAGCTGCGCACTTTCCCACGTTCAGTTCATTGTTAGTAAATCCAAACGTGAGCGATTCTGAGCGTGAAACCTGGCGTACACAAAGTTTTTGTGCGTACGCAGCGTTGATACATGAGGCCCCAGGTGTTTATATTCTGTGCTTAATTGATACAATATTTAAAAAAAATTCCTATACATTTTTGTAACTTTGTTTATTTCACTGTGTGTATGAGTTTGTTTTGCTGATGTTTCATCCTGTCTTATGTAAACAGTATGATGCATTCCTCCAGAAATGACTTTTCCCTCAGTGCCTGAATAAAAATATCAATTGTATAATTTAAATGTAAATAAATGGAGGATAACTTAAAATGTGTTGTTAACTCATTTATTGTTTATTTTCTTCAAAATAACAAAACTGGTACATCAAAACCAAACACAAGGTAAGCAGTTATTACTTGAACTAAATAATTCTTTAAACAACTGAGACAAGTGCTTTTTTCCAAAGTTAAACATTAAGTCAATCAGTAGTTTGAACTAAATAGTTCACCCACAAATTTAAAGTGACTTACTATTTACCTGCCATCAAGTGGTTCTAAACCTTTGAGTTTAATTTTTCTCTTTACACTAATAAAAATATCATGAAGAAAGCTGAAAATCTGTAGTATGAAATGTAGAAAAACCAACAAATATAATAGAAGTCAGTAGTTACAGGTTTTCAGCTTTTATCATATATGTGAATGTGTTCAACATATCTTAATATTTGTGTGCATTATTTTATCTAATGTTTTTTTTTTTGTTGTTGTTCTCTATGCACTCAATGTATTTGACTAAAAATTATAATAGTATTTACATTTTTTGTTCTGTTGCTTTCATTACATTTATTGTTTATATTTGTAAAATACTTTAGATACAAACATCTGTTCAATAGTTTGTAAATGTGAGTATTAGATGTAACCAGGGCTTTACGTTATCTTTTTTAATCACCGGCCTCTGTGGCTAGTAGTTTTTCAATGTTACTTGCCACTCTGCATTTTCACTAGCCACAATTTTGTTGTTGGGAAAATATATTTTATATGCATAAATTTGACATTGACATGCTAAAATTACTTGATTTAAATTTTGTGTTGTGTTCACATGCGTCCTCATTCATTTAAATTTTTGTGTGTCGAGTATGAGCTTGCTCAATGAGCATGAGCAAATGAGTCATGGGTTCATAGTGTTATATTGCAATTAGTTTTTATTTCACATAACTTTTTTTAAAGCTCAAAATTAACGATTTACCAAATTTATCTCTAACCACACTAAACAATTTCCCAGAGATGGGTTGCGGCTGGAAGGGCATCCTCTGCGTAAAAACTTAGCGGTTAAGTTAGCGGTTCATTCCGCTGTGGCGACTCCGGATTAATAAAAGGGACTAAGCCGACAAGAAAATGAATGAATGAATGACCAAACTATAACAAAAATTATTTCTTAGCCACAAATCTTTTATATGTCAAAACTAGCAAAATATAGCTGTATACTATAATTTTTATTTAACAAAACATTTCTTTAAAAAGAAAGAAAAGCAATTGACTTAAAAAAAAAAAAACTATTGTCATGTATCAAAAATATGCTGGGTAATCTGTCGTGGCTAAAGATCTATTGGATCACCACTTGACTGCACATAAATAGAGAGTTAATCTTCCATTTAAGCAATATTGTAAAAAACGATAATTAAACAATTTTAACAAAAATGAAAGCAAATAAAACCGTAAGCAAATTAATGCAGGTGAAACACCGGTAAAGCAGGTTAACTTTAGGCCATTTAATAATCTGTTAAAAGTGAAAGCAACCGGTGCTGCTTACAAAAGACAAATTTTAAGCTTTTAAAAGCATCAGGACTGTGGATGCATGTTCATCACTTTTTGTCTAGTTTATTTGAAGAGAACCAATGACAGTTGCGTTTACAGATGCTGTTCCAGACACGGTTGCTTCACGATTCGGGTCGCGCGCATCCCATCAGCTGTTAGCGCGAGTGATCATCATCCTCTCATTCGGTATTCATTTGCTATCTTCTGCTCCCGTGTTGGTGATCACAATTATTTTACTTCTCGATTCTAAGATCACATTTGCATGCATATTGGGTCATCCTTATATGGTTATATATTGTATACACTTAGATGTACTTAAGTTTATCTTAAAAAGTACTTAATACTAATTTTTAGTACATTAAATACAAAATTAGTTTGGGAAAATAGAGCACTTTGAAAGCAGTATTTAGCACACTTTCTTTCTTTTTCTTACAATTTGTATATTCTTTTAATATATTACTATTATACTTTAAATTAGTCATAAATATATTTAAATGTTTAAAATTAGGGTTCAAGTGTATTTCTAGTTGTAACTAAATATTTTTTTAAAATACAGATGTAGTATGTTAAAAGTACATTTAAGTTCAATTTCAGGGTGTCTCAAAATAGCACAGTTGAGTACACTTAGATGGTATTAAGTTTATCTTAATATATACTTAATACTATCTTTTAGTACATTAAGTACAAAATTAGTGTGCGAAAATAGAGCACTTTTAGTACATTACTGAAAAGTGTACTAAGTATACTTAAATAAAATGTACTTTAGTGCAGTTTTTTTTTTTACCTGGGATGCTGTGTGTACAAAGAAAACAGCATCTGTGCTTCATCAAAACACTTTAATTTTTTTGTGCAATAAACCACAAGTCCAAAAAATACCTTATGGGAGAGAACAAAAACTTAGCAAAAACTGAGAACACAAATATATAAATAAGATGCAACATTACAGCACATATGTGAAATGTAAAGACATTTTGTGAAAATGTACTTCTACTTAAAATTACTTAAAAACTTAAAATTACCACACTCAAAATCAATTTAAGTGTTCATGATAATATTGCATTCACATTAAGTGTACATAAGTACAACTTTTGGAAAAATGTACTTCTACTACAATACATTACTAATAGATTTTTAATAAAGTCAATTTAATATAAACTTAAAATTACCACACTCAAAATCAATTTAAGTGTTAGTGATAATAATGCATTCATATTAAGTGTACCTAAGTACAACTTTTGGCAAAATGTACTCCTACTACAATATATTAATAATAGATTATTTATATATTAACTTATTTTAAACTTAGGAATAGTATGTAAACAGTGTACTAAAAATCAACTAATGTTTAAAGCAATTAAAGCACACTTTTGAAAAACGCTAATAAAACTCTTTTGGATGTTTTTTTCTGTAGTGTACTTTATTGTAGTACACTAAAGATTTATTTAAGTATTACTGGTATTTAGTATACTTTTGTCAAGTATACTAAAGTCCTACTGAAGTATAAACATACTTTTAATTAGTATATTTATAGTGTAAAACCATCAAACTTTTATTTAACACAAAAAAATAACTGCGCCACCATGACGCGTGCTACAGACCTCTACATTATTATTATTATTTTTTTTATTATTATTTTTATTTTTTTTTTATTTTTTATCTAACCATCTAAATTGTTATGTGGTTTGGTTGTCAAAGTTTAATAATTTGACAGTATATCCCAGCAAATTATAAATAATTGGTAGATTCACAATTTAAGTAACAGAATTAGGCATGCATTTATAGTCGACACAGAAAGTGTTGATGTCTGTGCATGATTTTAAAGCAAATTCTGGCCAAAATGGGCATTATATGGTGTGATTTTTAAATGGGCAAAATGTTGTCGTCATTATGATATAGAGGTCCACTCTCAGCCAGAAAGTTGCAGTATCATCTATGAAGCGTGTTAGAAGTTCAAGAGGGGAGTTGTTTACTTAAACACCTCTGTATCTCATATGCTTATTAGTGGTCAGTGTTTTGTGTCATTTAGTGTGACGTGATTTACATTAAAAAACCTACTATTTTTACACAGTTTGATAAGGAATTCTTAAATCATTGTTGCCATGTGGCAGTTTACAATTAGCATGTTTACATTTATCATTTGGTGACACTGTCATATGGTGGGATCATTTTTCCAAGTTACACCATATGATACTTTTTCACCCTATATTACATACACCTGTTTTTAAATGTAAATAAATACATATTCTAAATCTATTAAGGTAACTGATAGATGTACATTAAATTATGATTAGTTTCTTATGATTATTAGATTCTTATGATTAGTTTCTCATCAATTTGACGTGCTGTGAGGTTTGTGGCTGGTGGGGCACTTACTCTTTTAAAGTCAAAAGTCAGCTTTACAAACATATCCACCCTAAATATTTTCCAACAACTGATTGTGTTTCTTATACCATATTAACATTTTTTTCTATACACATGGCAGGTATATATTTGATTAAGGAAGAAAAATGAATCGGAATTGAAAATGCCTCCCAAAAAACACCCAGCTGTATGCTACTGACAACTATAACAAGTGACACACAGTACCAAGGCGGATGCACTCTCTCTCATACACACACACACACACACACACAGAAACAACACAGCACCTAGGCAGATGCGCTGACAAGATGTATTTCAATCTAAGAATGGCAAAAGAGATATAGTTAATGTATCTACTGTAGAGACTATGTGCTTAATCTAGACACTAAATCATTTTCTGTTATGTGCACATAGATGAATGAGTTGGAAAGAGCCGTTTCTGCAGCACACACATATCTGCAGCGAAACCCTGGGGACCCCCTTTTATCTAGAAGTGTGAACTATTATAAAAGCCTGTTTGATCTAGAAGAGTACCTCATAGACCATGAAGAAAAGTCATATGAGGTATTTAATCTCTCTTATCCTATTTATCTAATGTCAGTGATTTGAAGCACATTTACATTACTAAAAATCGCTTTATAACATTCATTTCCTCTACTCAGGCTTTGTTCCTGAAGGCTGTGAAGCTATATAATTCTGGGGATTTTAGCAGCAGTGTACGTGACATGGAACTGACAGCTGCTGAGTATTTCACTAAATACCAGATGTGTTTGTTGTCCTGTGAAGGGTCATATGATGTTCAGGAATTCAAAGACTTTTACCCAGCCTTAGCAGGTCAGTGATACAATGACACATTCACAATTTCAGATCAAATAGCTATCCTACTAACTAAGGCCCTGTTTACACTAACACATTTTAGTTTTTAAACGGCGTTTTAGAATGAAAACGATCTGTATCCACACTGGCGTTTCACCTAGCGTTTCTGAAAAACTCTCTGTCAATACTACACCACCAAAAACTCACATCACCTGACCACACTCTGGCATGAAATGCAGCGTATGGACGTCTGAGCTCCAGGCATTCTACACAGGTGAGATCTGTGTACGTCTCACTGTTCATCAACGATCTACTACTGGATTTATTCTCACTATATTTGTTAAACATGATATTTAATTCATCTTGTTGTCTATATCTAACAACATATTCCCCGACTTTTGTTCTTTTGAATGTATTACTTCTCAGCTAACCTGTTTTGGCTAAGCGCAAAGATAAGTTAATTAATTAATGTAACCAAGTACACTGATTCTGCACATTTGACTGATTGCTTGCTTTTATTTCACGTAATGTATAAACTTATTGCACGTTATACTTTAATAATGGCCATTATTGATTATTAAAACTGATATTCAGCAAAAGAGGGTGTATGTTTCGTATTTTCAATGAGAATAAAAGGAGGCAGTAATGTTATAGGCTTTGTTTTTTTATAAATATGTATACTTTTTCAGTGAAGATGACACCCATATAAATATGTAGCTACACAATGCCTCAATATTTTTTGGTGCCTGTTAAGTTGCTAAAAGCAAAATGAAAATAGGCAGTTCCTTATGTCATGTTTTCATTTTATTGTTAAAGTAAAACATCGTAGCCAGGGTTATGTGAATGAGGCTATAAAGCACACTGTTCCCTTTGAAGATTTACTGATGTGATGTGTCCTCGGGAGTTTTTTTCTCCACCTTCGTTTTTAGATGTCTCTGTTTTCCCCATCCACACTGACACAGAGCAGCAGCATTTTAAAATGAAAACAGCCTCTTTAGCGTTTCCAAAAAGCTCAGTTTTCAGCAATCGAAAACTCTGACATAATGTGGACGAATGGCGTAACCGTAGCAAAACTTATGCAGTTTTAAAACTAAAACGTATTAGTATAAATGGGGCCTAACTAAATATTCTAACACTGGTTTATGCAGTGAAAACATTTGTTTAAATTTAATGGCCTCTCTATCTGTCTCTTTTTTCCCCTAGAGTTGTATTTTGAAGTATTGCAGTGTAAAGTAAAATGTGAGGAGAATTTGATGCCCAATGTTGGTGGTTACTTTGTGGATAAATTTGTAGCCACAATGTTCCACTACATGCAGTTTGCTTATTTCAAATGTAAGTATTACACAAATAAACTCAGACACAGCTACTGTTAATCCTCCCAGAATGGAAAAATTTTAAAAGCATATTAAGTTAAATAGGCAAATATGCAATATGAAGTTTATTATCATTATGTCTGGTAGCTATGATTGCAAAGAAAAGTGTCAACAAGAAGACACCCACTATGTTAAAGATGTGATCCAGTCATGTTTCTTTAAAATTGATGAGGACTATTATATCCCTCCAAACTAGTCTTCTATTTCCATTGATTTTGAAAGTTTGATGACAAAATGTAGCTAGTTCTGTCATGACAACTCTAGATTTAGTATGGTTATAGATATGTATATAGACATGTTGATGCATTTGGTAGTTGTGGCATAGCTCTGTTATGCTGCTGCTTTAATTATTATGGCAGAGCAATTACCAAGACTTGCTACTTCCAGTATATTCACAGACATGCAGTCTGATTCTGTCAATTCGGTCTTACTAATTCTTGTTTTGGTGGTGTCCAGACATTAGTCCTGTCTTGTCTAGTATGTTGTGCTCGGCTCAAGTTTTCTCTGGTCGAGCACTCTTATATCTCATCAATGTCTGTCTTTCTCATTGTATGAGCACTGTCTTGACTGCGATCGAGCCAGGCGTGCTCAGGATGCTTGCTTTTGTCTTAGTTTGTTTGTTGTTTTATTCACGGCATGGTGTTTTCGTTCTTGAGGCTCCAGTCTAGTTGGTTTCAGTTTCAGTTGGCATTGGGATCAAAAACATGCATGCCACATGTGAGTGCATAGTAAGTGTTTTCATTTGTCGCATGCTCGTGTCTTGCATTCTGTTGGTGTTGTTTAGCCAAGTATCAACCTCCCACTTTCCCCTGTGAACCAAATATGGAAGTAACTGAAACTGCAATTCATCTAAATTCTGCTAGTCCTGGCTCCATGTAGAGCAAATTTCGATTAAGTCACCTGTTAAAATGACCAACTTTACAGCAGAAAAACAGTTTACAGCCTGGTACAAAAAATGATTCTGGTTCATATAGCTAATATTACCCTAATGACAACTGTGAGGGAAGTGCATTTTTTTAATAACTCATCTGTTTCCTTTATATTAGATTTATTAAGTCTGCATAATTAAGGGTGTGGCCCCTTGAGTGACAGCTAGGTCTCAGTGGTCACTGTCACTTCACCTCAAATGATTCTGGATGATTAGCTGCTGAACTCACCATAAACATTGTATTTTTGTTTTGATTTATGTGGCTTTGCACTGTCAGCTGCCTTTTTGAATCCTATCTTACAATTATCAGATGTTATGGCATGCTTTGTGCACTTAATTGTGCTCACAAACTATTCATGTGGCCTACGTTTCCCAGGTGAGGGAAATTTTATACTTGTATACCTTCTCTATAAATGTATTTATTTTATTTAAGATCATTTATTATTAATAATTTTCTTTAGACCTGTAATAATTTTCTTTAGACCTCCAGAATTTGACTGATTAGCTGTATTCTCTAGAACAGTCATCTGAAACGATGTCATACAGTGTTGTGCCTGGATTTCATAAATAGCCTTGCATTTACTAACACAGACTATATCTGAAGTATTTGGATGTAATTTGCGTTTTCCACTTGTAAAAAAACATTATTAGAACAGTGTTTGATGGCTCAATGTATTACAACAGTGTTTTTTTAATATAAACACTTTATTGATGTAATATATAACCAAGCACATGTGATCAGAACACAAACCCGTCGCAGGCAATGATGTATTAAGCATTTCTCCCATAGGAAAGCCCATCTAAGCAAAATGATAGCAGGTGTCTGTAGCTTTGCTTACGCTCCGCCTCTTTGCCCTTGTTTGGTATACCCCAGTTGGTGCGATGACACGCGAACAAAATGGCGACGGTTGGCCACGCCTACAGGCAGCTTCTTTTAGGTTCTTCAGAAACCTATGGGTGATGTCACAAATTCTGCATCCATATCTTTTAGTCTATGTGTTTAGCACATGGTTTGTGATTACATGCACCACGTGCTTTAGTGTTGTCTTTCATGTGAACACGCAGTTAATGAGTTCTCTCATTGGCTGCGTGTTCTAGTCCTGTTTTTTATGTGAGCACATGGCTTGTATTGTCTCTGTGTCATGTGCTCTTGTCTAGTCCCACTCTCCTTGTTAACTCCTTATTAGTTTATTAAGTTTACCTGTTTGTTTGACAATTATTTCTCCTTAGTTATTTATAGTCTCCTCACATCTGCTGTCCTGTGTAGGACGGTAGAATCTGAAGACAAAAAAAAAAAACAATGAAAATTGGTTATGTTTAAACAAGTATTTGCATTAGCAACATGCATTATCCCCTAGCGTTGGGTACCTTGGTAACCTTGGTAAGCGGTATGTACCGGATCAAATCAGCATATGAATTTTGGTGCTTAGGGAACGTATGAGTGCAGTACAGTGCATTCAGCCTGGTTTTCGGTAAGCGAGAGTGATCAACACGCATGATCACGTTCATCAAATTTGCTTAAACTAACCATTTTAAAGCATATTTTAGAAGCAAGGACTCTGAAACAGCAACGAGTTTTACAAAAGTTGCGTGTAAGGGGGAAACATGTCAAACTTAATGACACATTTGAGGGCTCAAAGGTAGAGGAATGCCTCTCTTGCGTGCAGGTGTCACGTGCAATCACTCCCTTGGGCATTCCCTCTGGCGGCACTGCGCGCATCAGTTCCCCGCATTTGACAGAAGTTGATGCCCAAATTGACACAGGAAATAAAAAGATTAAACTTCAGTCATGTTCATGATGTGAAACGCTATTAAATTGTCTACTGTTGATTATATTAGACTTCTGTTTTCAATAGTGGTTTTAATACTGTTAATATAGAAAGTCCTGCTATGCAGAGACCATTATTAATCAGAAATCCATTGTACATAGTTTTACGTTAAGAAAAGGCTTCTTGAATTTACAGTCAGCAAGTACCAAAGAACAGATGTAACACATTTATCAAATATAGTTTTTAGTCACGCATGTAAGTCATATTCAACTCGTTTAGTTTTGCCTTCATTCATTTCCGTCTTCAACACGTAATTTATTTACAACACATTTTTAACCATAATAGTTTAACTAACTCGTTTCTAATATTTACTTTTTTTGTAATCTTCCCCATGTTGACAGTCAGTGCAAAATATTTTACTAGTTATTTTACAAGATAGTTGTATTCAGACAAAGTCCCTTTTAGTATTTTATAATCTTTTATTAGAAAGTTGAAATAATTGGTCAAATTGTTTTGTAACTGATTTGTTGTGTATATCAAAAATATACAGTAAATATTTCTAAATGAGGCTAATAATACTGACCTTAATTTTATTTAAATTAAAAACTGCTTTCATTCATTGAATAAACAATAAGAAATACAACTTTTTATGAATTCAGAATATTCTTTTTAGGAAACACTGTAAAAATTTTCAGAAAGATTATTTTAAGTGATTGGGAGGGCAAAATAAATTGACTTCAACTGTAGGCCTGTCTGTCAGTTTACAGGTGCAACAATGTGCCTTGATGTACTTGAATGTCAGAAATGTGTTCTCCTACACAAGTACAAAGTTGTCAAATGAACAAGGAAGATTATTTTGAGTTTAAGTTATTTAATTATCTTGTTTATGAAGACTGCAGAGTGATGGATGAAAAAAAAGACTTTGAATATATTTTTTTTAAAGTATTC